TAAATTCATTGCACACAGACTGAAGTAGTTTAAGTCTTTGGTTCTTTTAATTGTGATGATTTTGGCTCACATTTAACAAAAACCCACCAATTCACTATCTCAACAATTAGAATATGGTGACATGCCAATCAGCAAATCAACTGAGCTTATTTTCTTGTATTGGATGGTTCTTCTAAAGGCTGTTGGCTCTTTTCATTTTATTGGTGACCAGGAGCTGAAAATTGAGGGAGACCAGCAGGAAATGATGGAGGACGATGAATTTGATCTGCTGCTTCCAACTAAAAAAAAGAAGTCAAAAAAAGTGGAGTTTTTTGAGGAAAGTGATACTGTGGAAAAGGATGATGGTATGAAGACATGCTTCATTTAATTAGTCTAATTATGCAGCTCAGTTATTTCTTATGTTTTTTCCAGAAACAGCTACAGTAATACCAGATACTATATGAAAAAGATTTTATTGGCGATTGATTAAATATTAGATTGTGTGAATTCTTCACCTATATTTCCCTGTAGTCATTGAGGATGATAAAAGCACAGATGGCGTTACATTCAGTTCACAGTCGGGCCCAGCATGGGTTGGTTCAGAGAGGGATTACACCTACGATGAGGTATGATGATTATTCATATGATGAGCAATCCTTCTTATTCCTCACACATCTGATGTACTTCTACCCCACGCTAATGGGATAGTTTTCCTTTAATTTGGAGTGTCATTATTTCCATATCTGCATCTTTACAGTTGTTAAGCCGGGTGTTTAACATCATGAGGGAGAAGAACCCTGATATGGTGGCAGGGGAGAAGAGGAAGTTTGTGATGAAGCCACCTCAGGTGGTCCGAGTTGGGACCAAGAAAACATCTTTTGTCAACTTCACTGACATCTGTAAACTGTGAGTATAAACATTTAGTCCATGTCTGCAGTTTTTATTTTTTTCCAAATAAAATAATACAAAAGATGATACATGGGTCAATTACAAGGCTTTTGTTATTGGTCCTACCAGTTTATTCAAAAATACATTAAAACATTGAAATGCTTAAAAAAAAAAACTGCACAAAAAAATCATACATACAATGATGATGCAAGCATATTTTTTTAATTACTGAATTAAATTTAGAGTGACACAACTGTTCTAATATCACAAAGAAAATCCTTATTAAAAGGATAAAATTTACATTTGACAAACATATGTCTGCGAAATCAAAATCAAGTGCAATAAAATGCAAAAACGAAATAAAAATAATAAAAGACCCTCATTAAGCATAGATAAGTAACATAGATAAGTCTCTTGAAATATTTTAAAATAGCTTTTTACAACAAGACATGGTTATTACAGATTGTAATTTGTATTTATTATTATTGAAGAATTTTTTAATTAATAATAATAAAATATTGAATATACATCATAAATTACCATATTAAAAAAAATGTTTTTTGTTTGTGTGTATTATATATATATATATATATATATATATATATATATATATGAATGAATGATTTATTTGCAAAAACATAAATTCAAAAATCATGTTTTTGTTTTTTGTATTAGTTAGCTGTATTTTTAACCATATCAAAATAACCCAACTGCAGTTTGATTGAGATTAATTGGAAAGCACAACGAAAAAACTTGATTTTTGAAAATGGTTAAAAACTGAGTTATCCGTTTTTGCAAATAAACTCATCATATATATATATATATATATATACACCTTTTAGAAAATGATTAAGGTGTATACACTCACATGCGGGTGTGAAATAAATAAATTCCTTTTCTTTAGCATGGACACTTCTACTTGTCATTGACCCATATGTGAATATAACCAAACCAGTGATTCTAGTTTATAGGTGTAATTTTATCTATTAAACTTGCATGTTTACATTTTCATCTTCAGGTTGCATCGACAGCCCAAACATCTTTTGGCGTTCCTGTTAGCTGAGTTAGGAACGTGGTGAGCTTCTAATTGCATTTCCAGAATTCTGTCAAATGTGAAAAGGTGATTTCTCCTGTAACGCAAGCAATGTCTTCCTGCTTCTAGTGGATCCATAGATGGAAATAACCAGCTTGTAATTAAGGGACGCTTTCAACAGAAACAAATAGAAAACGTCTTGAGAAGATATATAAGTAAGTCAAACATTTTGCACGTATGAAGGCCCATTTGATGATATTTGTACCCCCCGTCAAATACCCCGACATACTTGTTGTAACTTGGCATCATTTAATTTGACCTTGTACAAATAAATGAAATCTTGCACTTCAAACACTTTAAAAGCAGTTAATGCATACTGTAGCCATGAGCACTTAATCGTCATAACATTCGGTGCAAGTGATGCATCTCGCCCTCATTTCGACACGTCTTCCCATGTGAAGTTGTGCTTTCGAAATCTTGATTATCGTAGTAATACTTGTGCAGCCCTAGTTTCATGTAAATAATGTAGTGACCTCCTTTCAATTTCAGTACATGTAGTATGATAGCGTTTAGCTCAGTCCACTCCACTCCTTTGGTTTACAGAAAACAAGGTGAAAACACAGCATTTACTGTTTAAGTTACTCATTTTCGACAATGAATTTTCTCTTTGTGTTTCACAGAGGAATATGTGACTTGTCACACCTGCCGCTCACCGGATACAATTCTGCAGAAGGACACGCGTCTCTACTTCCTGCAGTGTGAAACCTGTCACTCACGCTGCTCTGTAGCCAGCATCAAGACCGGCTTCCAGGCTGTCACCGGCAAAAGAGCCCAGCTTCGAGCCAAAGCCAACTAATACAAGCACCCTGTTCTGGCCTCTTCCTCAGACTGATGCTCTGCCCCTCTGGCTGACGGCTGTCCTCGCTGCTCTCCTCTGAAGCGCAGTGACCCAAGGCTTGGAGTGAACTCTGGAGGGTTTTGAGTGTAATCTCTATTAATAAATCTGACTCTGAAGCTAGAAGGCTTGCGAACAGGCTGCCTCTGATTTGCTTGTCTTACTTTACCTCCTTCCTCCAGAAATATGTTTTTCTGCATTTAGCATATCTGATAACCAGAGCATATTTCTGTCTATTTGGTACATTTTTACTTTCAGAGCAGTATTTGTTTTTCAGAGAAAATGCAGTGATATAATTGGATGGAAAATGAATTTTGCAAAATGAACCACAGCCCTTTATATATTGGACTTTGTTTTATCAAAGGAAAACGGAATCTCCCAATGCTAAGTCAATGCACAAGAATGCAAGAATGTTCAGACTGGATCCAAGCGAGTGTTTCGTGATCCAGACATTTCTGCAAAAGTGTGACGTTGAATCTCCTCCGGTCTCTAGAAAATGAGAAAACTTCAGTAGAACATTGGGCAGCAGATGTTTGGGCATGTTTGCAGTGCGTAGATGGAACTGAATGCTTTTTGTTGGCATATTTGAAATTGGATTTTTTTTTTTTATAAAAATGACTAAAGGTTTCAGTTTTGTGTCCTTGTTTCTTGCTTATTGGTGCATGCAAATGTTTGGTTCTGTAAGATTTTTATTAGCCGCAAGGACACATTAAATCGATCAAAAATTACAGGAAAGGCATTTATAATGTTACAAAGATTTCAAATAAATGCTGTTCTTTTTAACTTTTTATTCATCAAAGAATCCTAAAAAATTTATCACAGTTTAAATAAAAAATATTAAGCAGCTCAACTGTTTTATGCAGTGATATAATTGGATGGAAAATGAATTTTGCAAAATGAACCACAGCCTTTTATATCGGACTTTGTTTTATCAAAGGAAAACGGAATCTCCCAATGCTAAGTCAATGCACAAGAATGCAAGAATGTTCAGACTGGATCCAAGCGAGTGTTTCGTGATCCAGACATTTCTGCAAAAGTGTGACGTTGAATCTCCTCCGGTCTCTAGAAAATGAGAAAACTTCAGTAGAACATTGGGCAGCAGATGTTTGGGCATGTTTGCAGTGCGTAGATGGAACTGAATGCTTTTTGTTGGCATATTTGAAATTGGATTTTTTTTTTTTATAAAAATGACTAAAGGTTTCAGTTTTGTGTCCTTGTTTCTTGCTTATTGGTGCATGCAAATGTTTGGTTCTGTAAGATTTTTATTAGCCGCAAGGACACATTAAATCGATCAAAAATTACAGGAAAGGCATTTATAATGTTACAAAGATTTCAAATAAATGCTGTTCTTTTTAACTTTTTATTCATCAAAGAATCCTAAAAAATTTATCACAGTTTAAATAAAAAATATTAAGCAGCTCAACTGTTTTCAACGTTGATAAGAAATGTTTCTTGAGCAGCAAATCAGCATATTAGAATGATTTCTGAAGATCATGTGACTCTGAAGACTGGAGTACTGATGCTGAAAAACCAGCTTTGATCACAGGAATAGAGAACAGTCCATTTAAAATGGTAAAAATATTTCTATAGATAGATCTTACCAAACCAAAACTTTTGAACTGTAAAGTAGTTAACATCTTTCACTGTGTCGGGCTGATGTAGCTTTTTCAAACATTGCTTGTGTTTGCTTTTATTTATTGATTTTTAATTGTATTTATTGTTTAGATGCAGTACTTCTGTGACTTCTTTATGTCAAAGATACTTTGTTCTAGTTTCAGTAGATTGGAGATGAAATAGCAGTGGGCGTATTCCTCTGCTGCCTGTTTTACCAGAGTAAAGCTCAGAGTAAAGCTGCCACACTTTACCTCACTCACAAATGTGCTTCACTGATTTTAGCCTGAACAGCTGACAACTTTGGGTCTATGCTGTATTTCTGCAGGAAATGTGTCACTTATACCTGCAGACAGTGGCATTTACAAATAAACATAATACTAATGAAGTTCAAAAACCAGAGCTAAGAACACAGACGTTAATATAAACGCTTTCTCTGTGCATAACTTCTTAATTAAATTCTGTGCTTAACTTGTCATTGCTTTAATGAGTCAGTACTCGTCGATCCCGGTATTTGAACATGAACTAAACGGGTTACTCATGATGTTCAATGCATGTTACATAATAACAAACACGTTCAGACAGTGGGAACGGTTCGCAGGAAGCGGAAGTGTCTCTGTAAGCGGAAGAGGTTTAGCCCAGAGCAACCGAAGAGCGACGCGGAGGACGGGGACCCGATTTGTGTCTTTTTAACGATTAAAGTCAGAGCAAACGCCGTTTATAACGTGAGTGTATTTCCCTTATTCAGTCTATGGCTCTCCATGTGTCTCACCTGACATGCTTTCATTGCTGGAACGGCCTTGTGTTCGTTCTCGCGGCCAGCGGAGGGGGTTAGCAGCTTGCTAAGCGCTTCAGGCCTCGGGCTGTCAGACGCCCTGAGTCGATACAATGAAATATCCGAGCCCCCTGCCAGCATTTAGTGTTAGATAATAGTATAACGTTAGCAGTATTGTTTAGAAGGTTGAGAGTCATTACATATTGTCGGAGAGTTTCTTCCTCTCAGTGAAAGGGTGTGTGGTTAGCGCGCTAGCTCACATCAGCGGAGCTGGCGGAGTGCGATTGAAGCGATTGGCTGAACGTCTCGAGCGAGAAAAGGACAGATTATTTATTATGAAAGCCGCGGCACAGTTCGATTATTTTAGCAACGGCCTGAATGTTCAATTTGATTGCGTAAAATACGCTTTCATCTACTATTTAGTCGCTGTTTTGCCTCTAAGCAGGCCTTGTTAAATGTGACAAGCGAGTGTTAGACATGATGCCATAATGTTTTATGTTGGTAGTGCATTACACTTTCTTATCACTTTCTTCTCAATGAGATCATAAACCTATTAGGGCTGTGTTTTGTAATATATTTTATTATTCGACACAAGCTCTTGATTCGATCCGTTTCGAGACAGGATGTACAAGAAAAAATATCTCTGAAGTAATACTGTAAATTATTTAGGGAACCCCGTCAATTATTACATGAATATTAAAGAGTGCAAACTGTTAAATAAAATTGCTGTTTATTTTTAGACAGTAATCAGCACTGAATTGTATACAAACCTGTGTCTGTCTGTCTGTCTGTCTGTGTGTGTGTCTGTCTGTCTGTCTGTGTGTCTGTCTGTCTGTCTGTGTGTGTGTCTGTGTCTGTCTGTCTGTGTGTCTGTGTCTGTCTGTCTGTCTGTGTGTGTCTGTGTCTGTCTGTGTCTGTCTGTCTGTCTGTGTGTGTGTGTGTGTCTGTCTGTGTGTCTGTCTGTCTGTCTCTGTGTGTGTGTCTGTCTGTGTCTGTTTGTGTGTCTGTCTGTCTGTGTCTGTCTGTGTGTCTGTCTCTGTGTCTGTGTCTGTCTGTCTGTCTCTGTGTGTGTGTCTGTCTGTCTGTCTGTGTCTGTCTGTCTGTCTGTCTGTGTGTCTGTGTGTCTGTCTCTGTGTCTGTGTGTCTGTGTGTCTGTCTCTGTGTCTGTGTGTCTGTCTGTCTGTCTCTGTGTGTGTGTCTGTCTGTCTGTCTCCGTGGGTGTGTGTCTGTCTGTCTCTGTGTCTGTCTCTGTGTCTGTGTCTGTCTGTCTGTCTCTGTGGGTGTGTGTCTGTCTGTCTGTCTCCGTGGGTGTGTGTCTGTCTGTCTCTGTGTCTGTCTCTGTGTCTGTGTCTGTCTGTCTGTCTCTGTGGGTGTGTGTCTGTCTGTCTGTCTCCGTGGGTGTGTGTCTGTCTGTCTCTGTGTCTGTCTCTGTGTCTGTGTCTGTCTGTCTGTCTCTGTGGGTGTGTGTCTGTCTGTCTGTCTCCGTGGGTGTGTGTCTGTCTGTCTCTGTGTCTGTCTCTGTGTCTGTGTCTGTCTGTCTGTCTCTGTGGGTGTGTGTCTGTCTGTCTGTCTCCGTGGGTGTGTGTCTGTCTGTCTCTGTGTCTGTCTCTGTGTCTGTGTCTGTCTGTCTGTCTCTGTGTCTGTGTCTGTCTGTGTGTGTGTGTCTGTGTGTGTGTCTGTGCATCTCTGCGTGTGTGTGTGTGTGTGTGCGCGTGGCTGTGTGTGTGCGCGTGTGTCTGCGTGTGTGTGTGTGTGCGTGTCTGTCTGTCTGTGTGTCTGTGTCTGTGTGTCTGTGTGTGTGTGTCTGTGTGTGTGTGTCTGTCTGTGTGTCTGTCTGTCTGTCTCTGTGGGTGTGTGTCTGTCTGTCTGTCTCCGTGGGTGTGTGTCTGTCTGTCTCTGTGTCTGTGTCTGTCTGTGTGTCTGTCTGTGTGTGTGTGTGTCTCTGTCTGTCTGTGTCTGTCTCTCTGTGTGTGTGTGTGTGTGTGTGTGTTGTGTCTGTCTGTGTGTCTGTCTGTCTGTCTGTGTGTCTGTCTGTCTGTCTCTGTGTGTGTGTCTGTGTGCGCGTCTGCATCTCTGCGTGTGTGTGTGTGTGCGTGGCTGTGTGTCTGTCTGTGTGTGTCTGTCTGTCTGTCTGTGTCTGTGTCTGTCTGTCTGTGAAACCGAAACCAAATAGCGTTGAAACAGGAAGTGAAGTAAACCGAAGAGAATGACAAAATAACGGTCCACTTAACAACATAAACCTGACAATAAGATTGTTAGTCTATCGTTAGCCTATATGTATAACAGTTAGCCTAGCTGTAATCTGATTTTCTAATCTGACTGGACAAGAGACTTTCTATTGATATTTCCACCTGCGCTCGTTCTAGACGGGCTGTCAGTCAGTGCAGTTCCAGTGCTGCGGATGAAGAGTAACAGTAACCTTGCTCTGAAGGGATGTAGCTCTCATCATAGTCTTCCTCCAGCACAAAAATGTCTTAATGATAGTAGTTGTTTCTAGTCCAATTCATTGTTGAAAATATAAATATTTAAACGTGATTGTCATAACTTGTGTACATGACAGATGTATTCAAACATACATTAAATAAGAATTCACTAACAGGTTAAGTAAAAATATAATGAATATGTAGAACCGTGCACATATTTATCAAAATGCTCTTCTCTAGAGTTCATTTTTCTTGCTAACTATTGAGTTTATGGACATTGAATGGCTTTTGCAAGTTTGTGACATTGCTTACAAGCTGTTTTATTGACATACGTCTGGTTGAAACGCAGATTTAACGATTACATGAGACATGATGTGTTTCAGTAAGTTGTACTGTTTCTTTCAACACCTGATGTTCATAAAATGTATTTTGTGCTATTAACTATTAGTCAAGACGAAGAAATGATCAGTTCATGTGCCACTTTAACTTGTGTGGCTACGGTGATCTGTCATGCCATAATAAAGTGTGTCAAAACTGCATTCTTTTAATTCCATGATTAAAATTTGAAAGCTGAGACATTGTTCATATCAAAAGTAACAGCACAAAGCTTATTAAAATTATTGGATGGGTGGCACGCTACAAATAATGTTTAGTCAAGTTTTGTGCATCAGCTGAAAACAGCATAAACTAAAATATCAAACTTGGATTTAAGAATCGATATCAGATGAAAATGAAGATTGTTAATCGACTGCTCATCATCAATTATTGAGCATTAATACTTTTCAAAACCTTCTAAATCCATTTAATTTGGTGGTTTTCTGTGAATTATTGTGCTCATACCTACTCGTATCTGATTCTCAGTCTAAAAATGGACAAGAGTGACCTGGTGCAGAAAGCCAAGCTTGCCGAGCAGGCCGAGCGCTATGATGACATGGCAGCCGCTATGAAGGCTGTTACCGAGGGCGGCGTGGAGCTCTCCAATGAAGAGCGCAACCTGCTCTCTGTGGCTTTCAAGAACGTGGTGGGCGCCCGTCGCTCCTCCTGGCGTGTGATCTCCAGCATCGAGCAGAAGACCGAGGGGAACGAGAAGAAGCAACAGATGGCACGCGAGTATCGTGAAAAGATTGAGACGGAGCTGCAGGACATCTGCAATGATGTGCTGGTATCTGCACTTCTTTCTCTTCATCTTCTGAACCTTTTATAATGATGACATCACTTGAAGTTCATTCTTAAATACAAAATATTTCGTTTTCAGTTTACAAAGAACACTTTAATTTCAGTTTTTCCATTTTTCACTGTTTCACCACAAATATGAGCCATCCTGATGGTCCCAACCTGTCTTGACAGGGTCTTTTGGAGAAGTTCCTCATTCCCAATGCTTCTCAGGCAGAGAGCAAGGTGTTTTACCTGAAAATGAAAGGCGATTACTTTAGATACTTATCTGAGGTCGCGTCTGGAGAATCTAAGACCAGTAAGTGCATTGTATGTGTCTATCTAGCTAGCTATCTAGCTATCATTCTTTCTGTTGTTCTGTCTTGTCTATCTTTCTTTTGTTCTATCTATCTGTCTATCTATCAGTCATCTATCTATCTTTCTTTTGTTCTATCTATCTGTCTATCTATCAGTCATCTATCTATCTATCTATCTATTGTTCTGTCTATCGTTCTGTCTGAAGTTTGTGTTTCCCATACATTGATTTATTTGTGGCGGCCCGCCATAATATCAACATTGACTGCCACAAATAGATTTGCACAGATTTGTCCAAAACTCATGCAAGAATCGTGAAATGGCTGGATTAAACTTCAAAAGGCTATGATTCATTGAATAAATAGGAGCGCTGCACATTACAAAGTCAAAACACAGCATGTTAATGTGAATGTATCGCTGAAGGGAACCGACTGTCTTCAGAAAAGTATTGATGGCATGTTCTTATAATGTCTGATAAAGTAGCGTTTATAGGTGCAGCGTTGCTTTGCCGTTACTGAGGAAAACCGCTATATTTCTGCAGTTTCCAAAAGTGCCACCTACTGGCAGAGAATGAATTTGCATTTTCAATCAGCCTGTCTGCTGTTTTTGTTAAGACCATTGTGACAATCGACCCATATTTTTAAGAAGCAAACATAAAAATGTGAAGAACATTTCATAAAACTTTGTTTCTATAAAACCCTGTATCTGAACTGTAAATCATGCTTTATACAGTCATATTACGGTTTAAAATGTTACGGTATTCATTTTGCAGATTTTTAAAAGGTGGTTAAAAGCCTTAAATTTGATTTTAAAAAACCTGCAGATACCCCGACATAGGCTAAATGATATTAACTATAATGTTAACTTCTTTAACTCTGTTGCTCAGTGTCTGCTCCTTCAATCCAGATGAATATTACAAAATATTTTCCTAAAATTATTTTTCAGAAAGCCCTGTAAAATAGCATGTTCAAACAAAGAATGTTAAATGTGCTAAAAAAAATGTAGAGATGTTGTGTGAGGGAGATGTTTAATTATGTATATAAAGTTCTTCGCATAAATATTTGCATTGGAGCATGTTTTTTTTAGTATTACAATACAAAAAAACAACCCCCCCTCCCCCTCCATTGGGGGAAGTGCCGCCATAAATAGAGTGTAGGTCTGTGGGAAATTCTGTGTTCTATTTCTATTTGTCTGTCGTTCTATCTGTCTGTCTGTTATGTCATGTCTGTCAATTTATCTATCGTTCTATCTATAATTATATTGTTCTATCTCTCTGTCTGTCTGTCTGTCATTTATCTATCTATCTGTATTTCCATCTATGAGTGATACACCTAAATTTAGGAAATATTTGGCCAAAACAGAAAATTCTGGCGTAATTCTTTTAGAGAGCCAAAATCGTAGATCGAAAGTTTAATTAGCACTTCTCCAAAGGTGCGTTTTGACTGTTTTAGCTTCTATTTTGTGAACATGGCGTGGATACTCTTCAACAGGTAAACACGTCAGCAGTGTGGAGTGGACACACATTAGCGTGACCAAAAATGATTCTAGAGTAGCAGTATGTAAAATTTGTTAGGCTGAAACATTGAGAAGTGGCTTGTTGCCAAAGAAATTTACACACTGATCAGAATAATGAGTTCAGTTACCCAAATTGAATTCTGAAAATGTCCTTTTCAGTTTTGGTTTTTGATTAAATAATAACTTTCCTTTTGATTTCGGTAAAAAGTTAATTTCAGTGCATCACTACTATCTATCTGTCTGACTATTTTTGACATAATGCTAGCAACATAAGGGGCCATTCACACAGGATGAGTTCTTGCATTTAACCAAATTTGGACAGAGACTTTTTTTTATAGAAATTCAACTGATTTTAACTTGCCAAGTATTGAGAGACCGTACAGTCGCCAAAGATGCCCATCTAGTGCATGTGTACATATAAAACCATAAAAAACGAGAATGTGTCCTATGTGGACAGCCTCTTACACTTCATCATATAAATGTGTATTTTATTTCTTTGCAAATCTTGACTACAGTAAACATTGTTACAATACAAGCACCAGTGTATTTAATGCTCATTCAACCCAAATGAGAAACCAGAGCCTCTCTTACAGGCTTTTGATGAAGCCATTGCTGAGCTTGACACTTTAAATGAGGACTCCTACAAAGACAGCACCTTGATCATGCAGCTTCTAAGGGACAACCTCACTGTAAGTCCTCCATCATACATTCTGCACCAGTGTTATTTCTGTTTCAGTGCTTTATTGGCTCATACATTATATTAATTCTCATACCTGCAGCTTTGGACGTCAGAAAACCAGGGCGACGAAGCAGGCGACAACGAGAACTAGGGGAGCCGCACTGATCTCCAAACACCCACACATCCACCTTAAATACACAAATGGCTTCCACCAACCCTCCCATCTCATTCCACCCTACAGCACCCACCCCTCTCAAAATCCAGTTCCCAGCCCCGCTCCCCTGTACCTTCTGAACGATGATCAGCACCCGCAGGAAGACGCTCAGCGAAGCCCCCGTGGCTGGGAGGGGGGGGTGTTGGCTCACAGGGTGACATGCTGACATTAGAGCAGGTCCAGTCATTTTGTTTGTGAATTTAATGTGTACTGATTATCAAACCCTGTCCTTTATGCATGTCTGAGTGAGACTGTAAGAGTGTGTGTGCTGCTAACGGAGAGTAACTGTGTGTGTGTGTGTGTGTGTTTGAAAGTGAGAGTGAGTGTATTGGGGATCGGGGTTGTGAACTCTAATTTTCCTTCCTGATAAATCCCTTTGTTCCACTTTAGCTGGTTGTGCATTTTTCATCCTTTTTTTTTGTGAGACTGTAAGAGTGTGTGTGCTGCTAACGGAGAGTAACTGTGTGTGTGTGTGTGTGTGTTTGAAAGTGAGAGTGAGTGTATTGGGGATCGGGGTTGTGAACTCTAATTTTCCTTCCTGATAAATCCCTTTGTTCCACTTTAGCTGGTTGTGCATTTTTCATCCTTTTTTTTTGTTTTTGTTACGATCATTTTTTTTTTTAGTATAATTCATCGGTATTTACAGGTTTTATTGTATGGTTATTAAACTGGCAGTTTATTTTCACCAAATACAGAGTAAGTCTGACATCTCTGCTTTCTTGTTCAATTCTGTGCTGCTTAAACTGTGTTTTCATTGATGTCATTCTTAAACAAGCAGTGACATTTTTAAACATTAATTTTAAAGACAACACTAAAGTATTTTGAACTAATTTAAATGGTATTAACTTGAATGAGTAAAGCTAGCTTTTAAGTTTTCTTTCTGCTTTGACATACTATGTTAATAATACATTGAAGTACATAAATACATATAGGGTTATAACCCTACAGTACAATCAAATGAGGTTAGACTTTTTTTTCTGTTTTTATTAAGTCAGAACAGCTTGTTTGAGAAGTACCATAATTTTGCCACTAGGTGGGCAGAATACTAATGTTCAAAAGGTTGGGTTCCAGTAAGATTAACTGATTGCTTGGTTGATTTTTAGGAAATTATTACTTTTATTAAAGGATGCATTTCATTGATCAAATGTAACATTAACGAGATTTTTTAATGTTACAAAAGATTTCTATTTCCAATAAATGCTGTTCTTTTGAACTTTGTTCATCAAAGAAAAAAGTAATAAAAGAAATTGCACAACTCTTTTCAACACTGATAAGAAAATGTTTCTTGAGCTGCAAATCAGTATTCTGAAGGATTATGCGACACTGAAGACTGAAGTTGTGATGCTGAAAATTCAGCTCTGCATCAGGAAAAAAAGACATTTTAAAATATGTTCATATAAAAAATAAAAAAACAGTTATTTTAAATTGACTAACCCCAAACTGCTGTGAATTACAGTTGGCAAATATAAAAAGGTTCATGAGGTTGCACCATAAGGTTTTCTTAGCATATAATTTTTCTCAGTGAATGAAAGATAAGTTGGTTTGTGCAATTATTTGCACTTGATATGTTAAAGGATAAGGATAATCTTACACTTCATCATATAAATGTGTATTTTATTTCTTTGCAAATCTTGACTACAGTAAACATTGTTACAATACAAGCACCAGTGTATTTAATGCTCATTCAACCCAAATGAGAAACCAGAGCCTCTCTTACAGGCTTTTGATGAAGCCATTGCTGAGCTTGACACTTTAAATGAGGACTCCTACAAAGACAGCACCTTGATCATGCAGCTTCTAAGGGACAACCTCACTGTAAGTCCTCCATCATACATTCTGCACCAGTGTTATTTCTGTTTCAGTGCTTTATTGGCTCATACATTATATTAATTCTCATACCTGCAGCTTTGGACGTCAGAAAACCAGGGCGACGAAGCAGGCGACAACGAGAACTAGGGGAGCCGCACTGATCTCCAAACACCCACACATCCACCTTAAATACACAAATGGCTTCCACCAACCCTCCCATCTCATTCCACCCTACAGCACCCACCCCTCTCAAAATCCAGTTCCCAGCCCCGCTCCCCTGTACCTTCTGAACGATGATCAGCACCCGCAGGAAGACGCTCAGCGAAGCCCCCGTGGCTGGGAGGGGGGGGTGTTGGCTCACAGGGTGACATGCTGACATTAGAGCAGGTCCAGTCATTTTGTTTGTGAATTTAATGTGTACTGATTATCAAACCCTGTCCTTTATGCATGTCTGAGTGAGACTGTAAGAGTGTGTGTGCTGCTAACGGAGAGTAACTGTGTGTGTGTGTGTGTGTGTTTGAAAGTGAGAGTGAGTGTATTGGGGATCGGGGTTGTGAACTCTAATTTTCCTTCCTGATAAATCCCTTTGTTCCACTTTAGCTGGTTGTGCATTTTTCCTCCTTTTTTTTTGTTTTTGTTACGATCATTTTTTTTTTTTAGTATAATTCATCGGTATTTACAGGTTTTATTGTATGGTTATTAAACTGGCAGTTTATTTTCACCAAATACAGAGTAAGTCTGACATCTCTGCTTTCTTGTTCAATTCTGTGCTGCTTAAACTGTGTTTTCATTGATGTCATTCTTAAACAAGCAGTGACATTTTTAAACATTAATTTTAAAGACAACACTAAAGTATTTTGAACTAATTTAAATGGTATTAACTTGAATGAGTAAAGCTAGCTTTTAAGTTTTCTTTCTGCTTTGACATACTATGTTAATAATACATTGAAGTACATAAATACATATAGGGTTATAACCCTACAGTACAATCAAATGAGGTTAGACTTTTTTTTCTGTTTTTATTAAGTCAGAACAGCTTGTTTGAGAAGTACCATAATTTTGCCACTAGGTGGGCAGAATACTAATGTTCAAAAGGTTGGGTTCCAGTAAGATTAACTGATTGCTTGGTTGATTTTTAGGAAATTATTACTTTTATTAAAGGATGCATTTCATTGATCAAATGTAACATTAACGAGATTTTTTAATGTTACAAAAGATTTCTATTTCCAATAAATGCTGTTCTTTTGAACTTTGTTCATCAAAGAAAAAAGTAATAAAAGAAATTGCACAACTCTTTTCAACACTGATAAGAAAATGTTTCTTGAGCTGCAAATCAGTATTCTGAAGGATTATGCGACACTGAAGACTGAAGTTGTGATGCTGAAAATTCAGCTCTGCATCAGGAAAAAAAAGACATTTTAAAATATGTTCATATAAAAAATAAAAAAAGTTATTTTAAATTGACTAACCCCAAACTGCTGTGAATTACAGTTGGCAAATATAAAAAGGTTCATGAGGTTGCACCATAAGGTTTTCTTAGCATATAATTTTTCTCAGTGAATGAAAGATAAGTTGGTTTGTGCAATTATTTGCACTTGATATGTTAAAGGATAAGGATAACCAGCATTGCATTGTTACAATGTCGGTAATAAATTAGCAATGTGTACCCTGATGTATTCTTTATCCTAAAACTTGGTAAATGATGTTAAGGTGTTTACAATCAACATGCTTGGATAACCAGCATTGCATTGTTACAATGTCGGTAATAAATGAGCAATGTGTACCCTGATGTATTCTTTATCCTAAAACTTGGTAAATGATGTTAAGGTGTTTACAATCAACATGCTTTAAGAACAATAAGCACAAATCATAATAGGCAAAAGCGTTTATTGTAAGGGAAATCCCACAACATAGTGTACAAGCAAGGTCTATAGAAAAATGTAATCAAAGCCACTTTATTCGCACAAAAAAGAGTGAAATCGTATCAGCAGTATTCTACCATTACCCTTTTGCCATATCTTTACAAGAAGAAAAACGGCAAATACCATTTCATATTAGATGCGTTAACAATTAAGAAATAGATTTGTTTCAGTGCATTTAAAGTGGAGGGGATGCTGATTGAATTGAAGTGGCCAAATCCACAAGATCAGCTGCCGTTCGCTGCCAAAGAACATTAACAGTAATGTAAGCTTATCAGTCTAGCCTGATGAGTGAGTTAATGAGTAAAACCAAACCAGAACTAATCAACACATTAGAAAATTATGTACAGTAACACTTACACTTAGACACGCAGGAGTATGAGATGTACAGGTACTTGAATGTGCCGAAACATGGATCCGAGAAGACACTGTTGGAGGCTAATATGGAGCAGCTTCTTTTCCCTTCACATCTAAACAATAATAAAAGATCAATTAAAGGGGTCATATGATGCTGCTAAAAAGAAGATTATTTGGTGTAAGCCTAATGTTAGCAAGTGAAATGTCACTCCAGTGGCTAAGGACTGTGCAAGCTTTGGGGGTGCTGACGGAAGCCATCTGTTGCATCTTTGCTTTGATCATCTTACTGAATATGATCCAGATGCATTTTTTTTATGAAACCTGCCTACATTTAGTGATGGGAGAAACAAAGCTTTTCGAAGCATTGAATCAATTGAACCAATTGCTTCGAAAAATGATTCAATGTTTGGAAGCACTTGAAACAGCACATGCTGGCGACACCTGCTGGTGAAAACGTTGCAAAAGCATCAAGAACTCAGACCAAAACTTACAAAACAAATGGAAATGTTTATTTTTTAGAAATACCATTTTTTTAAATAAATAATAAACACTTAAATACTATTAAATATTAGTGATTGTGTTATGTTTTAAGCATAATCAAACCCTTAACACACAATTAACTAAAGTAATTATTTAATGAATTAATTGATTTATGTAATTATTTAATTATTAATTAAGTGTTTTCATTAGAGCTGTCTATAAAAACCAGCAGGCAAGAGTAGTGTTATCAGTCAGGAGAAGGAGATGGATTTAATTCTATCGTAAGCTCATTTTGTTATTTTTAAGGTATGATGTGATTTGGAGGTTGAAAGTACTGAATGTTTTTACACATTTTTTAAAACTATACAGCCATCTGTGTTAAAAGGAAGTTCTCTTTTGTTTAACCCACAACATCTGGCCCTGGATTCTTTATTTTTTTAAAGTAAAATTTTGTGGGATTTCATGTCACATGATTAACTGGGCAACTAGAAGTGGTTCATGGGTTCACTTTTGGCGCTTTTCCACTGCATGGTACGGCTCTGTACGGTTCACTTTTGGGGGGTTTTCCACTGGGTACAGTACCTGGTACCTGGTACTTTTTTAGTACCACGTCAGTTGAGGTTCCAAGTGAACCGTACCGTTACCAAAACGTGACGTGTAAACTCTGCAGATCACTGATTGGCTGGAGAGAGTATCGTCACTACCTGCGTCACTGAACTTGCGACACGAGACAAAACAGAACCGCTAGATTTAAATCAGCACAGCCAGCGAAGGATCGAGCGCACTTTTTTAACAACCAAAAAGTGGCTGTTTCGTTGTGTGTTGAGGAAGTACGACGTTCCTCTCGTTGATAGCACAGGAGCGGATCCAGCGAGAGCTTGATGGGGCGACGCGGAATGAAAAAGTTTTTCAGGAGGCGCGGCAAAAGAGGCGGGCGCAACTATAACGACATGTGAATAATCCCACCCACTCTAAAGCGGTACTGAACTGCAGTGGAAACGCAAACCGTGCCGAGCCGAGTTGTACCACGCAGTGGAAAAGCGCCATTTGAGATCAACACCCCCTAGTGGTGAACCATCGGAGTTTCGAAACGTTTCGAAACAGTGTGATGTAACGAAGCTTTGTTTGCAAAAATCACATGACCTGGCCTGTTTGATAAGCGCTCCGAGACACTGATTCGAAACAAAAGATTTGCGAATGTTTCGAAGCTTCGTGAAGCAGTGTTTCGAACGCACCCATCACTACCTACATTCAGGTGTTGATAAAAAAAAGAATGCTTGAAGCTAGAATACAACTTTTTTTTTTTTAAGTAGATCTATTCTTTATTTTGGTGTATTGCACAGTGAGATATTCATACAACAAAATATTCTGGGGACAATGAAATTTTAGTGAAAATCATCAAAAATGCTGGAGGTGGCTGGCGACTTCAAAAACGTTGGCAGGGAAAGAGTTCAAGTCATTTTATTACCCTACAGGGAGAAAATACTTAGACTAGCCTTAGTCTTAGCTGGTCTCCCAGCCTGGCCAACATGGTTTGGGTTGTTTTTTTCAACAGGGGAAGAATAAATTACATGTGAAAAATTGTACAATGAGCATGTAAACTGACCTGCTGGCGACTGTTGTGTGTGAATTTAAGGAGTAGCAGTCAGTTTTGGCAAGCTGAGCAGGAGGTCGTCCAGTAGAGCACGTGCTGCTGTCAGTTCGGCCGTAGTTAGCGCTGTGAATGTGTATGACAGTCCCATGCTCTGAAAACATAAATTCTATATTTTACAGTCTCTGGGATGCAAAAAAAAGTAATCGTATAATACAATTTTGGGGATTTTGGCAAACTCTGTAATGCATTAACTGAAATGTTAAAAATAAGAAACAATCAATTAAGAAGAGAATACACACCACAGGTCAGGGCACTCGTCTTATGTTCACAGACCAAACTTGAAACTACAGTAAACAGAGTGATAATTTAAAGCAGTTTAAAAAATGTAAATATAAAATAAATGTGAAGCAGGCTTAGTGAGTAATGGTTTATTTATATGTGCTCTGCCTTATGAAAAAGAGCTGTGCATAATTGTATTGAATGTGCACTTGTAGTATTTACTTGTAGTGTAAAAAGAGTCATTTAAATCTTAAAAGTGTATTTAAAAACCGTATTTGTAGATAATATAATATTAATAAAATTTAAGGCCACTTAACACTCTCTTAATACTCTCATGACTGTTTCTTAACACAAGTATACATTTCATAAGTGCACTTTGTAATGTCAAATTATTTTTGTTGTAAAAGTACATTTTATATATAATTTTGGAAAGTCCACCCAATTGGCCCAACAAATGGTGGCTGAAGGTTTTCTGCATGTTTGGTCTTTTCGATAAGCAAAGTAATTTCAATTAAACTCTAATCTCTAACTCTAACCTTGAATTTTCTCCAGGTATGGAGAAAATCTCTGATCATGACCTATATATACCTATAGGTCTCCTAGCCTGGCCAGCATGGTTTGGGTTGTTTTTTCAACGGAAAGACTAAATTACATGCGAAAATTTGTACATTGAGCACGTAAACTGACGTGCTAGCGACTACTGTGTGTGAAAACTGGGCATCATGCACTAAACGACGGAAGATCACACACTACCAGACTTTAAATTCCTTCCGATCACAACAAACTCACAGAAATGTTGCTAGGAGATGCATGACAAATTAAAATAATGTATGTTTTAAAATCTGAGCCGACCAACATTACTTTCTCTGATAGTAGTTTGAGACATTTCAAGTGATACAAAAAGGAGTTAGGGTTCATTTTAATCAATAATGAAATCTATGGCAAAAAAATGTTTGTCAACGAGCTTTTTTCCAATGACTAAAATGAGACAATGACAAGATGACAATATGGTCATTAAACGATAACTGTTGATGATAAAATACATAACTAAAATGTATTTATGTTTGCAATTGCCAGATATCAAGGGCCCTATATTA